CAAACCCACGCCAGCAAAGGGAAGGCTTAAGTACAGCCAACGCTCTAGCTCTAAGACCCCGATGGGAGCTGTGATTTTATTCACACTTGAGTCGATTTACCCGTCCTGCCTACTTCAATGTATGGAATCCACAAATTTGGATGAGATAATAAGAATAAAGTTGGAGGGGGTTAGCGGATTTGCTTAAGCTTGAGGCTTGAGCCTCGTAGCTCAATGGTTGAGCGTTGCCTGCTCAAAAGTATTGCCTGCTGTGTGGGTCAAACTCTGACCGAGGCCGCGAATTTTTAATAATTGGGTCAACTAGAATAATAATAAGGTTTTTTAGTAAAGCGCTTCTTGGGCGCCGCCAAAAAACCTCTGAAAGACAGAATCAAACGCATTCATGACAGGAACAAAATCTCTGTCGAGAACGTGATAGCGGTAAAGTTTGTAATTTTAATTCAAACTTGTGACCATTAAGGCAAATTCATTTCGGGATATTTTACAGAAGAATTAAATATAACACGAGGTCTCTGCCATTTAAGTCCAAGTGCAATACCTATGTCCTCAACATAATTCATCCAACCTAAAGTGTAATATGCCTTTCAAATAACAGTCAAGGAGAAAGCCTACACTTGAAGCAGTTGATGAACTTTCAATAAGGGCAAATACTATTCCTGTATTAACTGTTGTTTACACTCAGACAAAAGCTAAGTTTGGCGAATTGTTTGCGTACAGAGTACTTATTAACTTATGCTGATATTTCGTTGTAGCAACGAGCCCGCCCAGGCAAAACAACGCAACATGGAAGAAGGCATCCCAATGCCCGGTGCTAAACTTTGGAAAGGAGAAAATGCATATCTGGCCGCTTTTCTTGAAATGTCCAGTTTGAAATCGGAGGACATTCTCATTTTCGAAATAGCTGACACAGTGAGTTTGAAAAAAAAAACTAATTATTTAAACGGTCACAGTCACATAATTAAACATGAAACCTTTGCTGATAGGAGCGAAGAACTGGAGTCCGTTTCTCGCCAGTCTTCACGTTATGCTGCAAAACCAACATGCCAGCATTACAACATGAGAGTGTAGCAATATAAAGTTTAGTGCTCTTAATGCACAAACTATATGCAATGAACATATCTACAAAATTGTTTATCTGGAGGAGAACAGTAACGTTTCGAAATAGTGCTGCTGTTGTAACGGTGGTGCCTTGTGGTGTCACCGTCAAATTACGCCCTTTGAAATGCCCAAGGAAGAACACAATAAGAAGGGCGTAACTTTGAAATCCTACTGCACAACAGTTTATTGTGTACGAAACCCGGAGTTGTTGTCGTCGGTGGCAGTCGCCGCTGACTGATCTCCGGCGCGCCGTTGTCCCGTCTCGGGGCTAAGCCCGTCAATGAGACGGACTGGCGGTTTCCTTGCAGTCCGTGTGCAACTCACTG